CAAAAAAAGGTAAGTATCAAACTTCAACGTGTGTTATTTAATACATCTAATAGTTGCCTTGGTTGTTGTGTTCATTCTTAGCTCGTTGTAGTATGAAAATCGGTGGGACACTTCACAGTTTTGTAGATTGGACAAAACAACATTGCGATTTAACCGTCCAGCGATTGAATACTCTATGAAATTAAGCTTAACTTTTCAAAATTCGATAGCTCCAATGATGAGGACAATGATGAGAACTAAACAAGTGAGGAATCGACTAGCACAGAAGGTACGTTTGATACAATTGAAAGAATTTATCATTTGACTTTAGATTCGGTCTTCGCAAACCATCGGCAGCGTTGTGCGAAATAGCGTCAACGGTACTCTGATTTTTGGAGGACTTATTGATATGATTGACTGAAGAAGCTAAGTTGCATAATCTATTTGTAATGGTTACGTAGCGATTAATTTTCTTTTACATGTATAAGTATTTTCATAAGTATTTTCCTTTTAGGTGGAATAATGATAGAAGAAAATCCCTGGCCCATTGAAGTTCTCGTGGAAATTTTTAAGTGGTTTTCAATAGAGGAACGACTCAAGCAACTGACACCAGTGTGCAAACTCTTTCACCAAGCCGTCCATACACCAAAGTTTTGGAAGATAGTTGATACTAATTCAGAATTTACACTTTCTTCATTTCATTCTGTTTTTGGGCACGCTAAACATATATTAACACATCTCGGTTTTCGTTATTCTCAACGACAATTAGGGTGCAGAAATCTGATAGAAAATGCTCTGAACGATTGTGTTAACCTTGTCCACTTAGACCTCGCGTACAATACGTCACTTTTAACTTTGTTTTTTATACAAAGCATGCCATTTTTAAGATACCTTGACATAACAAGCTGCCAAAATGTGAAGGAAAGTAGTTTAACACTATCCCTTAAAAACCAGAGAGGGCTGCAGGTTTTAAAAATGGGGAATTGTTTTCAGATAGATTGAAATTTACTCGTTTCCATAATCAGGAGTCTGCCTGACGTAAGGAACGTAGTTGCCAATTGGTGTGGCTCAATAACAGTAGAACAAGCCCGCGATGTTTTGCAGCAGTGCAATTTGCTGGCGTTTTCATTTTCACCATGTTGGGGGCCTCCTAACTTGTGAGAAGAATTTGTACAAGATTTTAAACATGTAGAGTGTGGGGAGGATCTGCTAGATCACGTCAAACGAGTAAACCTCCTGGGATTTTTGTATGATGATGAAGTAGAATGAATAGAGACTCATGTGTAATAGGTGCTATGAGAAATGGCTGAACAAAGAAAGTGTTAATGAAAAAATATATATATGAAAGCTCTTGTTTTTAATAAACAGTCAGTCGCAGCTCGCGTTTATTTTATTAACTTATTTGCAGACCCAAGTCCATGTGTTAGAGATCCTAATGTCCCAGCTAATTATACCGGTAAAACTTTATCAGACGACCAAAAGCTTGAGCTTCTAACCGTAAAGTTTAGCTTTCCGCACGGATTCAAGTTTCCGACAACAGCCGGAAGGCGTTTCCAACTATCATGGATGGAGAAGCGGCCATGGCTGCGTTACAGCATTAGAAATGACACAGCTCACTGTATCTATTGTATATGTTTTTCGACCAATACTGTTCCAAATGAATCGCCATTTATCTCAAAGGGCTTCAAAAACTGGAAGAAAGCAGGTGATGAGCGCCTTGACACCCATGCGCGCAGTGAAGAACACCAACTTTCAGAGGAAAAGATGACTAACTTCCTTAAGACACGCCACCCAGGCAATGACATCAGTGCAAGACTACAAAGACAGGCAGCCGAGCTCAGCCGAGCAACAGCATTGCACAATTAAAGGCGTCGTGTCTATTATTGATGTAGTCATTGCATTAGGACAGAGGGGCATTCCATTAAGAGGCAATTGGGATCCCTCTAAGAGAAATGAAGATGGAATTTCTCCTTCTTTGTTGACTGGAAATCCAAGTATGATCCAGAACTCAAACACCATTTGGATCATGCTTCCAGTAATGCTAAGTACACGTCTCCGAGGATTAAGAATGAAATAATCAATTTGTGCGACAGTTTCATTAGAAACCGTGTCCGAGCATCAATACCAAAGTATTGGAGTATAATGGCCGACGAAACGCAAGATTGTTCTACAACTGAACAACTCAGTATATGCGTGCGATATCTGAGCAGTAAAAATGAAGTCTGTGAAGAATTTATTGGATTCGTAAGGCTTGAAAAATTGGATGCCCAGAGCATTACGGATACCTTGTTACACGCACTACAAGAATGGGGCTTAAATATGTCCGGCCTAGTTGGCCAAGGATATGATGGAGCAAGCTTCATGAGTTCAAGTAGGAATGGGGTGCAAGCCAAAGTTGCAGAGAAGTACCCTAATGCCACGAAAGTTCACTGCAGGTCCCAAGTTTTGAACCCTGCAATCTCGAGTGGTTGCAAAGCTGTGCGATCCATTCAGAATCTGTTTGATAACGTCAGCAAACGTACGTGGTTTCTTAGTGGCAGCGCCAAAAGGAAAGAAATATTTCTTCAGACGGCCGCGGCCTCCGATGACAGTGAACTGTTGAGCGCTCTAGTTGCATGTGCTGATGAAGACGAAGAAGATGAATCCGCCAAAACACTGGAGGAAGGAAGCAAGCGACAGACTGTACCGAAATTCTGTGCTACTCGTTGGAGTGCAAAAGCTACTACCCTCTCTGCTTTTCTTGCTAAATATGGCTCTGTACTTCTAGCTCTGGATGAAATTTCGCCATCAAGCAGTGGCGATGCTTCAGCTTATTCACGTCTTCTCCAAGACTCTGAATTCATAGTCGCTTTGACAGTATCTCAGTTTGTTCTGTCATTTTGAGCCCAAGTAACAAAGTCCCTACAAGCTAAGAGCTGTAACCTTGGCGATGCATACCAAAGTGTAACTCTTGCCAAAGAATGCATTAAATCAGCAAGAGGAGATGAATCCTGGCAGAAGGTGTGGAGTCGAATCAGCCAGGTAGCTGACCCTATCAACGTCACCCTGATAAAGCCTCGTACAACGACTGTTCAACGCCATCGAGCAAACGACGCACACAACGATCAGCCATCAGACTACTACAGGATTAATGTGTTCTATCCATTTATAGATCACGTTGTCGGTGAACTTGAAACGAGATTTTCAGTCCAGCACGAAGGCCTGATTACCGCTCAAAACCTGTTCCCTTTGTACTTGCCCAAGTTAACTGACAGGCATTTCGGAAGATCAAGAACTACTTTAACAAGCATCTAGATTTCTCGGAGAAGTCTAATTTTGACGCAGAGCTGGCAAGGTGGGGGATGAAACACGCGATCGAGCCAGAGTCAGAACAAGAAGGAGCAATGCCTGATTGCAGTCCGCAAGAATTTCCTGCCATTCACAAGGTCTGTCGATCTTTCTAACCACGCCTGTCGGAAGCGTCAGTTGCGAACGCTACTTCTCAGCCCTACGCCGTCTAAAGTTATGGACTCGTTCATCAATGACAGAAAATCGATTAAGTGGCCTTGCTATGCTGTTAGTTCATCGCAGAACGGACTTCATTCCCACTCCAAAAGAGATCTATACCATGAAGTCAAAGTGGAGAAGAATGTAGAACAGCCTAATATAGACTCGTTTTTGAGACTTGGTATTCTGATACCAAAACCTGCAATTTTAGCTCAGTTCCTTCAAGCAAATATCTGTTCAAACTAACGAAGGCTTTCAACCCATTTTTGAAACCATCCATACAAAGTGTTAAACTTCTGTTCACAGTATAGCTTGAGTTAAAGATGGTATATAAATCATCATTGTCTAGCAGAGACCTAGGGGGGGCAATTTCAAACCAAACAAGGCGTTTATGCCATAATAAATCATGACAATTAAAAGAAAAGTATCAGTGTGGTTTGTTTCCTTAAATGTCTTAGAGGCAACCTTCTGTTTAGGGGTGAAAGCAAAACGTCCGACTAGAAACCCTGTCTGTATACGGGAGACCCCTGTGAAGGTAGGCGGAGATTGCCCCCGCAGACAAAAAAACCTAGGTACAGCCCTGATTATGGGTAAAGAAAGGCAGCTATCAAATTTATCATCTTCTTTTTCGCCCTGGTGAAACGAACTCAAGGCTAATTCCCATTTAAATTCTGTAGAAATCGTGACAAAGAAATGAATAATGATGGTTGGTTTCTCAGGAAGCCCAACTGCGCAAATTGCTCGTAGCTGGAACGACATAAAAAAGCCGCATGTTGAATGCCGAATGTACGATAAAGCCTTCCAAATTTATCGATGCGAAATAAAAATGCCATAGAACAAATTTAACCAAGCAATATCGCTAATTGATTGAGAACAGTTGTTAAAGGTTGTTTGCGCCCGACGATGTATTGAACGGATTAGAAACAATCTTTTCAATTGATAACAACTGCCTTTAAAAAACTTACCGACATTATGTTTTTAAAGGCAGGCGACAACCAATTAAAGGCTTCCATCTACAGTATTAACTTTTATATGAGAAAGTCTTTTTAGTTAACGTAAAGAACAACAACAACAAACAAAACTTTATTCACACTAAAGCCAAATGCAATTGCCCTGCAAATTGGCAAAAAAACTGCTATTAGAGACAGGAAAATTTAAACGCATTGAAGGTAATGAAAATGATTCGAGCTAACAACACGGAAGCTGATTTGTAGAGTTATACGTAGATATGATTTGAGGTCAGTGGAAGATTTCTGGAAAGTTAAGATCATGATATTCGTGGCAGATATTGAATTAGAAAAACGATTAATAACGGAACTGTAAGAATCAAGCCCACGGTTTACAGCGGTCCGGGGCTGAGACGAAATTTCTCATAGGAACATAAACAATACAATACATTTTATTAATTCTTCCAGTTGGGTTTTTCAGAATGAATTTACAGGACTCATTAGTCTAAGTGGTTTCGAAATAACTAAAAATTACGTGTATAGAAGACAAACTTAAGTTACAATTGAATTTGAATTTAAAAAGCTAATAAACAATTAATTGAAAAAGATCAACAAACTACGGGTATCATTTTAGATCATGGTTCAGCATCACGCAAGCGTATTAGCTCTTCAATGGTGAGCCAACCAAGTTGATGTAAGACTGCAGTGGTGTAATGTGATCAAACTTTTTTGTATTAGCAAGTATACGGCGGACCGACGGCAAAGTTTTGCATAAGTTGTAGTTTATGGACGTTTTCTTTAGAAGGTTCCAGACCATACGGTGAAGCAATAGAACAGTTTGCTAAATGTCAATTAGGGAATGTAGGATTATGTTCAGTGCGTCTTTAGAGAAAAAGTGTCGTACCCTATTTATTTAAACTAATGTTGACAAAGGAGAGGGGGTTAGTGAAGCGATATGGTCATTCAAGTGTGACGCCGAGGTCCTTGGTGGAAGTTACAGGTACTAGATCTTGACCAAGGAAAGTGTACAAAAAGTTTTCCCCAGCCTCCCTTTCAAACTAAAACAGCGTAAAACAAAACATTAAAGGCTATTTCAAAGAAAAACAACTTTGGAAGAAATTGGTAATTTTCTATCAAAATCATTGGTTAACCCCTTTGGAAAATGCAAATTTTCCGTCTATGTTAAAATGCCATTTTAATTTTTATACTCTAAAAAGCCTCCTTTTCAAAGTAGAACATGGTGAAACATAACAGCAAAGGCTTATTCAAAGAAAAACATCCTTCTACACGCCGAACCGTCTAGAACCATTAGTTAATTACTACCACAGTTCTCTCACCTTACAGCTGCTCTCACCTGTAAAAGGTATATTTGCCTGAGATATGATGCTTATTACTTTAAGAAAAACAACTTTGGAAGAAATTGGTAATTTTCTATCAAAATCATTGGTTAACCCCTTTGGAAAACGCAAATTTTCCGTCTATGTTAAAATGCCATTTTAATTTTTATACTCTAAAAAGCCTCCTTTTCAAAGTAGAACATGGTGAAACATAACAGCAAAGGCTTATTCAAAGAAAAACATCCTTCTACACTTCCTTCTACACGCCGAACCGTCTAGAACCATTAGTTAATTACTACCACAGTTCTCTCACCTTACAGCTGCTCTCACCTGTAAAAGGTATATTTGCCTGAGATATGATGCTTATTACTTTAAAGAACCAGCTTGCACCACTTAGCCTTCCATTAGGAACCACTAGTTAACACTGATATATTTAGTTAGTTGACAGTAATTAGCAGCATTATAACAAATAACGAACTGATCTGCATATTTATTGTTGAGAAGAACTCCCTTTTACTGTTAAGATGGAGACCTGGTTTTGGATTCTCGGCTGGGTTCTTTCATTTCTGACCATCACTGGAAATTTGTTTACAATCTTCCTCATCTGCAGCAGACGAAATCTCCGCACCAAAACCAACGCGTTTATTCTTTCACTCGCCGTGGCAGATTTCTTTGTTGGTTTGAGCGTTATTCCCTCAATGTTCTTCTGCGACAACTTCTGCGAATGGCCTCGACGTTGGCTGTCTTGGGTGAATTTTACAAGATGGTTGTTTAGTAATGCATCTGTTGTAAACTTATGCGTCTTAGTACTGGATCGTTTTATTGCCATCGTCCATCCTCTAAAATACATTACATTTATGAATCGCCGCCGAATTAACCAAGTTATTTTTTTCTCTTGGCTTCTAACAGTTAGTTTTAATGTGCTAAAAGTTACCCTCTATATGTTTTATTTCAGAAAAATTCGTGTTATCTTTATTTGGCTGATTATAATTTTCTTCGAGTTCCTTCCATGTGTTGTATTAATATCCTGCTTTGCATCAATGATATTTCACGTACACAAGCATGATCGGTCAGCACGCATCGTCGCAAAGCAGTTACGTTTTAACCATCAGGTGTCGTTTAAAACCCATCACGAGAAGTCTGCAGTAATAATGATGGGTATTGTGATAGGAGTGTTTCTTGTTTGCTATGGGATGTATCTGCGTTGTAGTTTTTTAATACTATTCCACACTACCTCATCGCCATGCAATGATGAAAAGTACAAAATTCCTGTCTTGGTTTTAAACTCGGCCATTAACCCGCTGGCCTATGCCTTTTTGAAAAGAGACATAAAAAGAGAGTTTAAAAGAATTGTCAGCGCTGCTTTTAAAGAAAATAACAAAGTTAACTGAAGCCTACCACTTTACGTGCGTAACTCCGCATTCTAGTAGGATGTAGGTCTTACTGAATATATGAACGAGTTTGAAAGGCTTGAGCGAAGACTGATAAATCTGTGACTCTTGGACTCAAAGCGAACTGAAATTTGGAAAAAAAAATGGCGTATGAGGAGAGACCCTAGGAGAATATGGAGGGAAAGAACCTAAGATCAATGTTCACTGTGATGATATGGGACACAAAAGTTCTCATTGGATTGAATGTTTTAGTTTCACATCGTGAGAGTATAGTAAGTTCGTGTTCACATCCTACTAGTAAAACCTCTGTTTCACTTGCGCATGCTGGAGTTTGCGTACTCAAAGAAAAGGCTCTGCATG